CCCCAAAACCCCAAAACCCCAAAACCCCAAAACCCCAAAACCCCTCTAAAAAATTATCATGTTGAACTTGCAATTCTGACCTAAAATCTTATACTCTACCCAATAATATGTTTAACGCTTCGATATGAGCGAGGGTTGTTACTTGGCTCAAAATACGTCTCCTTACTAGACATTTGAAGATTGTTTAGGGTTGAATATCTTTGGCTGCCTGCGTTGACTATATTCATTAAATTATACTTTCTTACTACTTTGCGGAGGTTGATACTTAGCTGGTTGAGTTTCATCAGCTCTTTCTAAGAAAGAATGGGTACTTCTTAAAGTTCCATAACCACCAGCTTTAGGTGGTGAAATATGAGCAAGACTCTGAATCAAACCATTCTCCCCAGCACGTAGAGATGCAGTTGATCTGCTATGAAGAGATTTGACTAATTTATTTTGTTGTTTAGGTGATGGGTGGTACTTCTCATCTCTAAAATGTAACTTCTATCCTTACTCTTTAGCTCTATTTTATTGTCCCGACCCCATAATGATTTGGGAGTTTATCCTCAAATTCTTTCGTCATGTGAGATTTCCAGCTGACAGCATCTGTATCAGCATAAGAGAACCTTTGTGGGTACAGAAATTTGGAAGCTTGGTCTTTCTTAAATATGTCTAGCCTATCTTGAGCCCATTCTTTCTTGATAAAGCGAGTTGTCTTTCCTGGTTCTTTGTTATAGAAATTGTCTTTGGGTTTTGTGATTTCTAAGTTCGGGATCTTAATATTCATAGTACTTCTCTTGTTATTTACATCAGAATAATCCATGATATTGTACTCGCTTAAGTTTCTTTCTTTAGCTCTCTTTGGCTTTGACCCATCAATATCTTGAATGTCAAGAATATTTCTTGCTACTCCTCTATACAAAGCTTTTGACTTGGCTCCATGAATATCTTCCACAGATAAAGAAGGTCTTAAGTACTTTGGCTGTCCTACAGGTAACGGAGCCTGTTTCATAAGGGTATATTGCTTTCTAGGCGGCTTCGAGGGATCTCCACACAATCCTTTAGTGGGGTTCGGAGCATATTTTTGATCTTCAGGCCTAGGTCCTAATTTAATATCATCAGGATTAGGAAGCATATACTCTTCAGGTTTTGGAAATAACATTTATTTTTATTGATTATAAAAGATTAAAGGGGTTTTGGGGTTTTGGGGTTTTGGGGTTTTGGGG